TTTTAGGAAGATGAAAGGGCAAATGTCAGTCTCAAGGATGGAAAATACTTGACAGATTATAAGCTACCTGGTGTAAAATCCTATGCATTCATACATTACATTTAGGGTGGGTGGAGGTGTTGCTACATTTCAGGTTTTGTGTTATATAACAGGAAAAGAAGGATAAATACAGTTGATCCCTGCCACAGAATAGCTCAGTTGCAAAGATAAATGGTATAGTAAAGATATAAAAAAGAACATCTTGAGAAAAGAAGAGAGAGCAGTGAAGGCATCATAAATGAGCTCGTATCTGAGTTGAGTGTTGAAGGATGAGTGGTTCATATGGCACCAAAGTGGAGTGTTTTCCAAGCAGAAGAAAGAGTGTGTTCAAAGACACAGATGAGAGAATAAGGTAGCCCCAGAGAGCTATGTAGGGCTTCTTGTTGGACAAGAAACCGGTAGTTAGGCCATGGCCAGAATGAATGGTTTCATGAATCTTGCAAAGACATTTGGACTTTCCAGTCTCAGCAAAGGGCAGGTGCTGGGGGTATTCAGCAGAAACAAGTTAAGAGATAACTGTGGTAAATGTATGGGGCTTTGAATCATACAATGCTGGCAGTTTGAGAAATGAAAAGACTTGCAATATCCTAAGGAAGAGAAGATGAGCTTCTGAACTGGCCCAGTGGCAGTGATATTCTACAGAAAGGGTCAGGTTTGAGACACATTGGTGTATTTAAGAGCAGCTGGCCAGGCTGAAGGTAAAGAGAAAATGTGTAAATATCCCATGGTATCCCAAAGCCCAAAGATACCTCTGGAAATCTGCCTCTTCCTCAGGATACTTGACTGTAATCTGATAAAGCAATCTGCTGTCTCCTTGGATGGGTATGTATGTATATGTATAAGCATACATATACAGAGAGAGACAGACAATACTTTATGTCTAGATTTATATCTTTATCTATAAATGTGTATCTATCTACCTATCCATCTATCTAAAATGACCACAGTTTGAGGTCCTTGAAGCTGTGCATTGAATGATCTGTACAACTATATGAAGGCTTTGTTGTATTCCACCGTCATCAATGAGAAGATAATCAAACTCGGCATGGGCTACCAGCTTGGCATGGGCTCCTCAGTGTCTGTAGATGGGACTGAAAACACACTGTGTTACTTGTAGTCCTTTAATTAGATTTTTATGGGTCTTATCATTTTCTTAGACTGATTTTAGCATTTTAGATAAAATTGTTGTATGTTTTTTTCTTTATCTTGCAAATTCAAACACTAGCAATACATCTATATCTAGATTTAGATATAGAAAAAGAGAAAGAGATAGAGATATTTGCCACAGATAAATGTCTGCAAATCAAACAACAGTTTTCTATCAAAATATTTGGAAGGATTCAAAGTCATTTCCAAGTGCTCTTTTCTTCAAAAGTTATGGAAACAGGAGGAGGGTCATAGTGGTATGGCCAGATTCAACTGAGATTTAAAACTAATTAAAAGTATTGTGAGAATGTTGTGTTACAAAAGTTATTTACAAGTATTAAAATTTAAAAGTATTTGAAAGCAATTAAAAGTAATTAAATTGAAGTAAAATTATTGAATGTATTGCCAAACACATGGCCCTGGAGAAACGAGGATGGCTAGCTGGAGCCTGCTGTCGGCAGTATGGAGTATGCTGGGGAGGCTGGCTGGAATGAGATGGTTTTGTTCACTGGGGTAAATGCTTTAAGAGAAGATGCTCTGGGAGGACATTCCCAGCAGAGGAAATAGAACATCCAAATATAAATATTGTGCTTGGTCACTAACAAGCAGCATTAATATAATAGAAATAATTCTGCCACTTCCTAACCATGCAATATTAGGCAATTTACTTAACCCTCCCATGCCTCTCTGTTTCTTAAGTTTTAATAGTGAGAATATGTGTTCTATTTATCTCATATTTTGTGAGGAAACCATGACAGAATGTATTATAAGCAATTTGAAAACAATCAAATTAAATATTAATAAGTAATTCATATTATTGTATATTAATAAATATAAGGATATTGTAATTGAGAACAGAAAGAATTTTCCATTCCCTTAACTCTTTCTCTGTCCTTCCTTTCTTACTGGCTACAAACACCCTTCAAACTGCACACATTATCCTCCTTTGAGAAAATGGACTTGCCAAGTATGCACACCTGGGGCTTGGTGGAAACGTTTGCATTAACCTTCGCAATTCCACTCCAGGGAGCTTCTTCCTAAGGGGTGACATTGACTGAGCACCTTGGGAAATGAGGCTATGCTACAAATCCGTAGAATTTTTCAACAATCTCCTAATCTAGGACCCCTAAGCTATTAGATGAAATGTAGTGTTTATGGAAGTGATGGCTCTGAATCAGGGGAAAAGTTTAGAGCTCTATCCCTGGCTGCATCATGGCTGCACTTATTAAACCACCCCCACCAACCTGACTATGCCCTCCAAGCTGTGTCTACCTTACCACCAGGGAGAATCTTGGGTCTAGAGAAAGAGAACTTCAGGTGGCCTAACACAACCAGCTAAAGCAGACATTATTCTGAGAATACTTTAGAAGTTGTACTGAAGTTGTTGCTTTATAAAAGTGAAAAAAGTATTGACATTCCAAAGCCCAGAACTATTTTTTAACAAGCTAGAAAATACTGAAAAACGGGGAGTACAGTTTCCTCAAGAGAATGCAGCATAGTTAGAATGTACACTATTTTTTCCCAGTGTGTATTTGGGTAAAATATGTGCAATGAAATTTCAGGCCAAATCCTACTGCAGAAACAATCCAAAATATGGCAGATTTATAAGCTAGGTAATTGTTATTTATTTGCTAATGTTGATTCCCTTAAGAACTCATATGTTCTACATATTACTTATGGCTTCTCCTTGAAAAGACTTACCTCTAAGGTCTCAGCAGCATAAAACTCCAGGCTGCAAAGTTGTCTGAATCAAGCCTCAGCCATAATTCTCCTTTGTCACTGACTCTGTCAGGTTTGGAATCTACTAGCACTCTACCTGTTTGGTAGTTAATAATCCGTTATTAAACTGGCAGTTTGAATAAATCAGTGTAAGAGTAGGCTAGGAGACTCCTCTGTCATCCTTCGTTTTATTTTGAGAATCTGAAAGAAAATTGAGAAGAAAGGTTTAGGTATCTGAAATCCTCCATTAAAAGCCCCGCATACTCAGCCCCAGACCTCTTAGTTGGGGATTTGTTCAATCTGTTCTTTGGATCTTTCTTTCAAAGAGAACCTAAGCAATACCCTTGTCGGCCTTGCGCTAGACACTGAGGAAGGAGAAATGTGTGCTATTCCATTCTTATTTTCAAGCAACTCACTCTACTGTCTCCTCCCCAAGGGAGTTTTGGACAAAATGTGGAAGGAGAAATGGTGATTCTGTTTTGAGGATTCTGTTTTGAGGATTTGAGGATCTCCGAGGAGGGAGATGTTAGGGAAAACTGCAGCAGGGAAGTAACCTTTGAGATCCTTTGAAAGATGAGTTGTATCTTTTCAGGTAGGAAATGCAAAGAAGAACAGGAAAAGCAAAACTAGGAAATTACTTATGCTTTTGCCTTGTTCCAGGAAGAGCCGGGTCCAGTGTCTGCAATGAGCTGTGTTAATGAGGACAGTGCGCAGAGATGAGGCTTGTCGTTGGTTGGAGATTAGAGAACAGAGAGCTTAAGTCAGGCAAAAGAGCATGAGTTATGAGCTTGTTGAGCCTGGGTGAGCTAAAGGAGCAGGAAGGGGAGTTGGTTTGATTAGGTCATTGCTTGGAAAACTTGTTCTGGCCACAGGGACTGTATAGGTTGGTGGGATCCAAAATTGGAAAGAGACCATGTAGGAGGCTATTGCATTTCCCATGTGAAAATTTGTGAGAAGCTCAACCAGGACAATGGCCAGGAGAAGTAGGAGTTGAGAAAGGATCTAGGTATTTTTCCAGTGTCAATCTTTGGAATGCATTAAGAATCAGACCTGAAGATAGGGCAAGGTAGACAGCAAGACCAGACCTTTGCAATGCTAACAGTTAAAGGACAGGGACCCGGCCCACGAGAGGTCAGCGATTTATTGTGAAAGATGTTATTGTATTGCTGCTGTTGTCATCATTGCCATCTTAGTAGCTAACATTTATTAAAGTGCTTCCTGTGTATCAGGCACCCTGTGGAGCCATTACTTAAACCTCACAAAAGAATGAGTTTAGCTACTACTATCATCTGTATTTTATAGGTGAGAAAATCAAACCTGGAAGGGGCAAAGGCAGTTTACCTTGTCCCAGGTGGTTCAGCAGGTGAGAAGTTGAGCTCCAGAGCCCAGCTCCTAACCACTGCAATTTGATGCCATTAAGAATACATGTTATAATAAGATCTTACAGTAAAAATAATGGCAGGGACAATATATTGCTGGTGGGGTCTAAGGGAGAAAGCAGTTAACTCTGGCAAGTCAGAGAAAATTGCACTGAGTTTTAAAGGATATATTTTAAGGAATGAGCAGGAATTGTCAGGTAAAGAAGTGTGAAAGAAAAGAATTCCAGGATGGAACAACTTTTGCAAAGTCAAAGAATGCAAAAGGGTCAGGAATGGTTACTAACTCAATGTGGCTGGCTTTGTAGGCTATTGGAAAGTGGGGCTGAGCTGGGGCTACTCATGGTTTATCTGTGTAAAGGCAGGAGCCCACTAAAAAGAATGAGCAGGAACCTTAAAAAGCTCAGTATTTTCCCTATGGTTTTGCCTTTCAATCAACAAGCAGTAATGCCTCTTTCTCCAATTCCTCTGCTTACCCCAAATTCCACATACATACGTGTCTCCTGCCACACCAAGAAGTAAGACAGAGATGCTTCTACCAGGACTGCACTGCAAACATGTTAATCGTTACATCCTTGGCAAGTCAACAATCTGACAGTTATTACTGAGAATAATAGTCATCATAAAACCCTGCTATGCGAATATAGTATAGGCTAACACCTCCTTTTGAGTGCTGAGAATCATTCTCACGCACTGCTTTTCTCCTCTGTCTCTTTACAGTTCCTCCCCAGATCATGAATATCTCCTCAGACATCACTGTGAATGAGGGAAGCAGCGTGACCCTGCTGTGTCTTGCTATTGGCAGACCAGAGCCAACTGTGACATGGAGACACCTGTCAGTCAAGGGTAAGCCTCTTCCTGTAGGAAGTTTTCAGAGTTCATATATTGAAGACTTGAAGCTAATGCACAAAGGAACTTCAGGAATCAGAAAGTAGTGCTGTATTTGGGATGCAGTAATGTTAAAACACACAGGCCACAGCCTTCAGTCACTGAGTGTGCCATTCCACAAGAGGGATCAATAGAGAAAATTGACTAAGTTATTTTCTCATGGAAGACTTTTGTTTTCCCAACTATGAAGAATGGAGGTGCTGTATGAAATGACTTCCAACAAAGATACCAGTTTCTCAAGGTGGAGATGCATGGGTCACTTGATGGTTTGTCCTTTCTTGAAAGAGAGTGTTTGAATGCTAGAATGTTCACTGAAAATGTGGGTGTTACCGTGTATCCAAGAGAAAAGGAGGTCCTTACTCAGTATTTTCAGGACATTTATACAGAGACAATCTGTTTGACTTGTGCAAAAACTGTCCAGCTTGAGTGAAAGAAGGCTGATAGAAATGACCATGTGCACCTGGGCACTACCTGTGCTGGGCATTCAGTGATTGCTATGGTGACTAGTTATCGCCATCTTTTCCTTAATGAGTGGGCCTTCTTCCTTGGAACTGAACCTTACTTCTAGTTGAACTTGAAGAAATGGGCACAGGGCCCCCTTACATATTTACACTGTTACTAGAAACTATGATTAATTTTAGAAATTATGCAAGAAATAAGTGCTCCCTCAGGTGTGAGAAAACCCAAACAATGAAACCCAGTGAATGGACAAATGTATGGAGGGTGCCTGTGTGTGATGTAAAAATAAATATAATTCTAGAGGAAAACATAAGAATAAATCTTAGTCACCTTGAGATAGACAAAGATTTTTCTAGGACACCAAAAGCTCTAACCATAAAAGAAAAATAAATTGATGAATTTGGCTTTGTATAATTTTTCTATGACTGCCATAACAAAGTACGACAAATGGCATGACTTAAACAACAGAAATGTATTTTCTCACAGTTCTGTAGGCTGGATGTTCCCAATCAGGGAGTAAGCAGGGCTGGTCCCTTTCAAGAGCTGTGAGGGAGAATTGGTTCCATGCCTCTCCCCTGGCTTCTGGTGCTGTGCTGGTTTTCTGTAGTATTTCTTGGCTTGTAGATGAATCACCCTCATCCCTACCTTTATTATCAGGCAATTATCACTGTGTGCCTCGCTGTGTCAATTTTCCTTTTTCATAAGGACACCAAATATATTGGATTAGGTCAATAATAGTGACCTCATCTTATTTTAATTACCTCTGTAAAAACCCTATTTCCAAATAAGGTTACATGCTAAAGCACTGGGATTAGGACTTCATGGAATCTTTTATGGGGGCATACAGTTCAACTCATAACTGGTTTCATCAAAATTAAAAGCGCCATTGAGAGCAAATGAAAAGACAAGCTATAAGCTGGGAATAAACAATCACCATACATATATCTGACAAAGAATGTACATCTGGGCTATATGAAGAATTCTTACAGCATAACTCCAATGACCCATCTCGAAATGAACAAAAATCTGAGCAGTCATTTCATATAAGATATGTGAATGGAAAAGAAGCACATGGAAATATGCTCAACCTATTTATCATAGACATGAAAACTAAACTATAATGACATGCACTATACAACTACAGAAAGACAAAAATGAACAAAACTGACAATATCTAGTGTGGGTGAGAATGTGGAGCAACTGACACACATTAGCTCAGGGACTGTAAAATGCTGTAAGCACTATGGAAAACACTGTGGCAATTTGTTATAAAACTAAATATGCACTTGGCATATGACCCAGCAATTCTAATTCTAGGTATTCAGTGAATACAAATTACATTGTATACAAATATTCATAGCATAATAGGCTCAAACAGAAATAAGCCAAAACCCTCAAGTGGTAAACTGATAAATTCTGGTATATTTAAACAACAGATAACATCTCAGCAATTAAAAGGAACAAACCATTGATACACATAACAAAACAGATGAATCACAAAAACATTATGCAGAATGAAAAGAGGCACAAAAAAATACATACTTTGATTTCATTTATATGAAATCCTGGAATAGGCAAAACTAATCTGCAGTGACAGGAATCAAGTCAGTGGTTAACTGGGACTGGGCTTTCGGGAGACTGAACAGCAAAGGGGCACGAGGAAGTAAAGCTCAGTATTTTCCCTATGGTTTTGCCTTTCAATCAACAAGCAGTAATGCCTCTTTCTCCAATTCCTCTGCTTACCCCAAATTCCACATACATACGTGTCTCCTGCCACACCAAGAAGTAAGACAGAGATGCTTCTACCAGGACTGCACTGCAAACATGTTAATCGTTACATCCTTGGCAAGTCAACAATCTGACAGTTATTACTGAGAATAATAGTCATCATAAAACCCTGCTATGCGAATATAGTATAGGCTAACACCTCCTTTTGAGTGCTGAGAATCATTCTCACGCACTGCTTTTCTCCTCTGTCTCTTTACAGTTCCTCCCCAGATCATGAATATCTCCTCAGACATCACTGTGAATGAGGGAAGCAGCGTGACCCTGCTGTGTCTTGCTATTGGCAGACCAGAGCCAACTGTGACATGGAGACACCTGTCAGTCAAGGGTAAGCCTCTTCCTGTAGGAAGTTTTCAGAGTTCATATATTGAAGACTTGAAGCTAATGCACAAAGGAACTTCAGGAATCAGAAAGTAGTGCTGTATTTGGGATGCAGTAATGTTAAAACACACAGGCCACAGCCTTCAGTCACTGAGTGTGCCATTCCACAAGAGGGATCAATAGAGAAAATTGACTAAGTTATTTTCTCATGGAAGACTTTTGTTTTCCCAACTATGAAGAATGGAGGTGCTGTATGAAATGACTTCCAACAAAGATACCAGTTTCTCAAGGTGGAGATGCATGGGTCACTTGATGGTTTGTCCTTTCTTGAAAGAGAGTGTTTGAATGCTAGAATGTTCACTGAAAATGTGGGTGTTACCGTGTATCCAAGAGAAAAGGAGGTCCTTACTCAGTATTTTCAGGACATTTATACAGAGACATTCTGTTTGACTTGTGCAAAAACTGTCCAGCTTGAGTGAAAGAAGGCTGATAGAAATGACCATGTGCACCTGGGCACTACCTGTGCTGGGCATTCAGTGATTGCTATGGTGACTAGTTATCGCCATCTTTTCCTTAATGAGTGGGCCTTCTTCCTTGGAACTGAACCTTACTTCTAGTTGAACTTGAAGAAATGGGCACAGGGCCCCCTTACATATTTACACTGTTACTAGAAACTATGATTAATTTTAGAAATTATGCAAGAAATAAGTGCTCCCTCAGGTGTGAGAAAACCCAAACAATGAAACCCAGTGAATGGACAAATGTATGGAGGGTGCCTGTGTGTGATGTAAAAATAAATATAATTCTAGAGGAAAACATAAGAATAAATCTTAGTCACCTTGAGATAGACAAAGATTTTTCTAGGACACCAAAAGCTCTAACCATAAAAGAAAAATAAATTGATGAATTTGGCTTTGTATAATTTTTCTATGACTGCCATAACAAAGTACGACAAATGGCATGACTTAAACAACAGAAATGTATTTTCTCACAGTTCTGTAGGCTGGATGTTCCCAATCAGGGAGTAAGCAGGGCTGGTCCCTTTCAAGAGCTGTGAGGGAGAATTGGTTCCATGCATCTCCCCTGGCTTCTGGTGCTGTGCTGGTTTTCTGTAGTATTTCTTGGCTTGTAGATGAATCACCCTCATCCCTACCTTTATTATCAGGCAATTATCACTGTGTGCCTCGCTGTGTCAATTTTCCTTTTTCATAAGGACACCAAATATATTGGATTAGGTCAATAATAGTGACCTCATCTTATTTTAATTACCTCTGTAAAAACCCTATTTCCAAATAAGGTTACATGCTAAAGCACTGGGATTAGGACTTCATGGAATCTTTTATGGGGGCATACAGTTCAACTCATAACCGGTTTCATCAAAATTAAAAGCGCCATTGAGAGCAAATGAAAAGACAAGCTATAAGCTGGGAATAAACAATCACCATACATATATCTGACAAAGAATGTACATCTGGGCTATATGAAGAATTCTTACAGCATAACTCCAATGACCCATCTCGAAATGAACAAAAATCTGAGCAGTCATTTCATATAAGATATGTGAATGGAAAAGAAGCACATGGAAATATGCTCAACCTATTTATCATAGACATGAAAACTAAACTATAATGACATGCACTATACAACTACAGAAAGACAAAAATGAACAAAACTGACAATATCTAGTGTGGGTGAGAATGTGGAGCAACTGACACACATTAGCTCAGGGACTGTAAAATGCTGTAAGCACTATGGAAAACACTGTGGCAATTTGTTATAAAACTAAATATGCACTTGGCATATGACCCAGCAATTCTAATTCTAGGTATTCAGTGAATACAAATTACATTGTATACAAATATTCATAGCATAATAGGCTCAAACAGAAATAAGCCAAAACCCTCAAGTGGTAAACTGATAAATTCTGGTATATTTAAACAACAGATAACATCTCAGCAATTAAAAGGAACAAACCATTGATACACATAACAAAACAGAGGAATCACAAAAACATTATGCAGAATGAAAAGAGGCACAAAAAAATACATACTTTGATTTCATTTATATGAAATCCTGGAATAGGCAAAACTAATCTGCAGTGACAGGAATCAAGTCAGTGGTTAACTGGGACTGGGCTTTCGGGAGACTGAACAGCAAAGGGGCACGAGGAAGTTTTGGGGGGGCTATGGAAATATTTTACATCTTGAGTGGAGTTATGTTGGTATTTACAGTAGTCAAAACTAACTGAGCTGTGTATTAAAAAGAGATCCATTTTATTGTACCAAAATTAAATATCAATAAAATTGAAAAATCTACATATAGAGATGGAGGAAATAATGACCTAAAATATTCCCGTCAGTTTGAAACAACAGTTACGTGAGCAGCACGTACCA